CTTGTGGGTGTCGTCTGCTCGGGTCATGGCTTACACAAGATTAATTTGTAGGGACCTTTATAATTAGAATAGGGTTTTGGGGGCAGGCCTTACTAGACCCCCAAAAGCCTATTATTGACAGGATTTGGCTTACCTCCTAAGTGGAGCAGGGTCCTTGTGACGATGTTTTGCGGTTTCGCGGAGCAGTCTTCTTTTGTGTCGAAGACACATAGAGCCTCCTAGCAGGCCCTCTGAACCCCAAGCACACAAGGGGCCGAGTGTAAACCCGGAATCCCCTGAATCCGAAACCCGAAAGCATGAACCACTACGCCCCACCAGACGAAAGAAAGCAACAAAACATGGAACCCGAAAATCCACAGCGAGTGCTCCGACAAAGCCCACTTGTTGAGCACCACCCGACAAAAAGGAGCGAGCTTTGCTTGGAGGGTTCGGGATTTAGGCTTCAGGTTGGGTTAGTGTTTAGGGATTAGGGCTTTCATTCGCTTGGACCTTCTTGGGGTATGTACGTACATAATATATATATGTATATATATATATATATATTTATTTATTTATACATTTATATAGACATCTATATATACATTTATACACATGTGCACGCACACACACACACCAGAAGCTTTCAGAAAATGTTGTTCAGTTGTTGGGACCCGGGGCCTAGGCAAAGATATATATTTGTGTGTTTATATACGTACATACATACATACATACATACATACATACATGCATACATACATACATACATACATACATACATACACAAGGCCTGAATAGTTAGTAATAGCACCTCCAAAGATCTGTCCTATACTATGTCCCCCAAAACCCTCTTGAAAGTACTTAAGGTCCCCCTGTTAAGCCCTAGAACTCAATCCTATAAACCCTAAACCCTAAACCCTAAACCCTAAACCCTAAACCCTAAGGTATACCGCGACCAGGAGGGTAGAACCAGGCACTCACGCATTCACGCCTCTGCTAATGTTAAGCCCGGATAAGTAAAGTAGTGCGCAGGCTTAGGGGTCAGGGGCTAGGGCTGCTGGGTTCTTGGGTTTAGGGTTCAGAGCTTAGCGGTTTAGAGTTTCTTGAAGGGCATGAATATTGGTATTACTATGACAGTCCCTTTTATGGTAGGGGGTTTCATGAACCAGGGGCCTGCATTACACCTCTGAAGCATAAATGGGGCTTTCCGAAAATTAGGGTACCTTATTTTGGGGGTCCTTATAATAAGGATCCTACTATTTAGGGCACTATATTAGGGTCCCCTATTTTCGGAAACCTCCAAATCGTAAAACCTAAACCCTACACCTTAAACCAAAACCCTGCAGTTAAAACGCCAAAGCACTTGGAAGTTAATGGGGGCGATCTTCCAAACTAGGTTTCTTTTTGTTCTCACCAAAATGATACGGCACCCTTATATAAAGAATCTACAAATGGACGCTAAATTAAATCTAGAGAACTACCCATGCGGGCAATCTTTCGGGCTGTTAGAACCCAAGAAAAACTACAGAGGTTTAGGATTGGGGTTTATGGTGTCGGCTTTAGGGTTGAGGGCTCATGATTGTGTTTTAGGGTTTAGGGTTTAGGCTTCAGGGTTTAGGTTTTGGGGTTTAGGGGGGTTTAGGGTTTAGGGTTCAGGTTTTAGGGTTTAGGTTTCGGGGTTTAGGGTGTAGGGTTTAGGGATTACCACCAGGGCCGTTCCTACCCACGGTGGGTGGCTGAAGCATACTCATTAGTAGTTACCGCTACTGAGGTCTCGGAATCCAGACCCCGAGCTGACGTTCTGCTTGGAGCGTCGAGGGATAAAGTTCTTCTATTGACTTGACCCCAGTTGGCACCCCGTTCCGGATACTATTTACGAGTCTGCCCTTTAAGTCTGCTCATTGCCTACTTATTGAGTCCTTCGGCCGTCCTACTAAGTACTAGTTGTTGTTTGGTTTTTATTCGCTAGTTTCTGAGAGGAGTAGAACAGTGCAGAAGCATCAATCAAGAGTAGCAGTGTTATTCTTGTTGTGTTCATTGCGGTCTAATGTAATCTACCCTAAAGACTTACTCTAATTTTACTAAACCCTAAACCCTAAACCCTAAGTTCCTCATTCGCCCTAAACCTTAGCTCTGAAGCTCGAAAACAAGACTCACACCAGGGGTTTAGGGTTTAGGGTTTAGGGTTTAGGAGGGGACACACCTGGTCCCGAGAAATTGAAGTCCCTGCCTTTTCCTCTAAAAAGCTACATGGCCTGTCGACCCATTTAGCCTTTAGGGTTTAGGTTTCTTAGGTTTGAGTGAGGGTTTAGGGTTTCGGGCTGTCCACACGTCTGAACTCGGACGCCTACCTTTCGGGGAGGGAACTTGGCAACCAACATCCAAGCTGTCCGCAGTCCTCACCTGGACCCTCGACCTCTGAACCCAGCGTAAACCCTAAACCCTAAACCCCAAAACCGTTAAACCCTAGGCCCAAAGTTCTTCAAACCTCGTAAACCACACAGTTCGGAGCCCAGGTTCAGGGTTTAGGCTCTATGGTCCGGCTTGCAAGTCTAACATAACGGTTCAGGGTTTAGGGTTTAAGGCTCCAGGGCCATGTCTGGGGTGGTGTTCGAGTGCAGCCGAAAACGCTTGCTGCCTCCAAGCCTGCAGTGGTTCGAAGCTGCAGATGCCGGGTTGGGGATTTCCCTTTCCCGCGAGTTACATATCTTGTCTGACACGTCAGCCGGGCACTCGGCCGACGGCCAATTTTGGGTTTACCTGAAGTCTCCATTGTAGTTCCTTTTTTTGGTTTAACCAGTTATATATGAAGGATTTTTTAAGGTATCCCCAAAAAGGAAATACAATGGAGACTGCAGGTAGGGTTTCCTAAACCCTAAACCCTAAACCCTAAACTATAGAGTTTAGGGGTACTAGCCTTAAAGCTCTTAGTATCCTTTAGCTACGATGGTGCTTTCCCAGGCTCTCTGCGGGGGTCATTCAAAAGCCCGGGTTTAGGGTTTATAGGGTTTAGGGTTTAGTGTTTAGGGTTTGGGGTTGCATAGACAACTTAGATTTGCACAATGGAAAATCGTACAGCAGGGTCCGATGGTCAGACAACAGTCAGGCAGGTAGCTAGATAGCTGGAAACCCAGAGGGTCCACATATACTACCATTATGGAATTAGGTCCCAAAAGACCGTTCTTATTATGGTTTTGGGGACCTAATTCCATAATAGTAGTATATGTGGACCCTTAGGGAAAGCAATGCGAAACCTATACTGCATGCACGCAAGTATGTGCTCACCAGGCCAATTTAAAATACCGCATGCATTCATGTCTATGTGCATCTTGCTCGCTATCTATCTATCTGCCTCTCTATCTATTTATCTATCTACGTATCTATCTATCTGTCTATCGATCTGTCTATCTGCGTATGTATCATCGACCTGTCTATCTATTTGTCTTTCCTTCTATCTATCTATCTATCTATCTATCTATCTGTCAATCTATCTCTCTATCCATCCATCTATCTATCTGCCTACAGATAGATAGATACCTTGACCTACCAAAGCCTACTTTTTGTAGGGTCCCTATACATTCCATATTAGGGTTTATGATGAGAACCTACGAAAAGGTAGGTTTGGGTAGGTGAAGGTAGGTAGGTGGATGTGTACACGTACATCTGTACCTATATACAATGAGTACATTACCTCTATATCTACCCAAAGACGCAGACGTAAACTTGGTGACGGCGCCCGTACGGGGTTGTGAGCGCAAGACGGCGGCGTAGCCAAAACTCGAGCGACACCTGCGTGTTGTATGGGTCATGAGCTTTCGCAGGTGCCGAAAACACTAGAAGCTCACGCAAACTTTTGGCGACATTGCATTTTCGCGAGGCGTTTGTTAAAATGTTGAGGGTTTTTGTCGGTGGGTCTTGAAAGTTCAAAGTTTCAGGATCGGTTGTGCTTGAGGATCGTACTCTCGCCACAGCGCGGGCGTGTTTTGCACCCCAAGCATTTTGCGTTTTCGGAGGCCTTTTTTTGCAGCGAGTGCTCTTGGGAAGGGATAGCCGGAAAAATAACAGCTGCGAAATCCTGCTCTTGCCACAGCCCGGGGGCGTCTGATTTTTCATTGCTGCAGCCAGAGTCATGTTGCGGGTTTACATTGCTTGGAGCCGATCTACAGAAGGTAAGGCCTTGAACTTATATATGAATATCTAGATGTATACAGACAAAGTCAATAAACACAACCACACGGGCTTAGGGTGCTTTCAAGTGCTTGTTTCGAGGTGCTGTCTGGATGATAGGGCACCCATATAATAGGCCGTTAAGGATGTATCGCAAAGAGGCCGTCCTGACGCCTAACGAAGGGATTCACCTCTTGAAGTGTTAAAGTGCTTGAATGTACCTCAGACAATGTACGCATTTGGGCTTCAAGGACTTCATATGATGCTTTGGGGAGGCCCTGAGCATCTATAGGCTGATTGGATTCCCTGCCGGATGTTTTCAGAATTCAGGTTGCGGAGTTAAGGTTTCTAAAGGGTTTAGGGAGATGGATTTTCTTTAGTGGCGGTAGATTGAGTGTGAGGAGGTTTGACATTTTTTGTGTAGTGTTTTGCACGGGTTTCTAGTATGGGGAGGGCTTCCTACAATAAGGGGTGCGTTATTCAGGGTTCCTCAGAGCAGAGAACATGCATCCTTGCAACACAGACCTTATAACGGTTTAGGGTTTAGGGTTTAGGGTTTAGGTTATAAATAGAATTCCTGTATGACACCACATAAACAAACATCCTTTCATGAACAGGGTTCTCCCAGCTCTCGCTTTGGGAGGCACCATGTTTTTCCTAAGGTTTTAAGCCCTAAACCCTCACTTAAGGGTCCAAGTTTCCAATAAACAATCATATACTCTCCCAAATATTGACCTATGAATCTACTATCCTAAACCCAAGTGCCCAAGTATTAAGTCCTTTGGACGCCTAGGGCTAAGCCCTAAACCCAAAGCCCCAAGCCATAAGCCCGAAATCGTTTCCCAGGTACCCATGCGATGAGTTGGTATGGCGGCGTTCGGCACGCTGGAATTCTCGCCCCCCGGCACGGATTTCTGAGGGGTTCCAAAGGAATGGAGTACAACTAACCTTTAATTTCGGGGTTTGCACTTCGGGTTTGGAGTTGAGCGTTTAGGGTTTAGGGTCCGTCTCTTTCATCAGGTTACAATATGGGTGTTTTTTTAATTAGGGTCCCTTTTGGGGCCCTTTTTATAAGGGTGCCGTACTATATTGGGGACCTAAACAGGGACCCTAATTTACTGAACTACCCATATATTATGCTACAAACCCTAAACCCTAAACCCTAAACCCCATTCTAGTTTACATGGGTGACTTGCCGAAGGCGATCCCTTGTGGGGACCTAAACTGCCCCAAAGGTCCCTAAACCCTGGGTTTAGGGTTTAGGGTTTAGGGTTTAGGGTTTAAAGTTTAGGGTTTAGGGCCATAAACCCCAAACGCTAAACCCTAAACCTAAAACTACCCCAAACCCTAAAAGTGTCCTTACACTCTGGGGAGCCGTCAAAGCTCGGACCTCAAAGAGACCCAAGAGCACTCCGTAGGAGATTCCGGACCCTCCCAAGGAGATACCCTTACGGTAAGTACCTACATTGTAGAACGCAGGGTTTCTATGTCAGGAAGTTTTACTGTGTGGAAAGTATTCCCCAAAACAGTATACCTAGGACCCCCAAAATGTACTGGGCTCGAGCTCAAGACTTCGCGCTCGTGGGTTCAGATGCTTTGTAGGTAGGGCGTCAACCCTAAACCCTAAACCCCAAAATCCTTAACCCTAACCCCAAAACCCTAAAACCTCAAACCCCTAAGCCCAAAAGCCTAAACCCCAAAACCCTAAACCCCAAAAACCTTAAACCCCAAAACCATAAACCCTGAACCCGAAAACCCTACACCCCAAAAACCTAAACCCTAAACCGGGTCTGCAAGGACTGCAAGGATTTCATGGTCAGCTCTAAGATCTGGGCACAGCGGTCTAGGGTTTTGGGTTTCGGGTTTTAAGTTTTGGGGTTTTGGGTTTTAGGGTTTAGAGATTTAGGGTTTTGGGTTTCGGGTTTAGTGTTTGAGGTCTAGGGTTTCGGGTTTAAGGTTTGGGTTTAGGGTCAGAGTCCGAAGGCTTTTGAGCACTGTTGTGCTTGATGGCTCCAAGAAGGTGTTGCGGACCGTCTCCGAATAGAGCCAACAGTATCTACACATTCTTGATGTCTACATGTCGTCGGGGACATGGGGGTGAGGCCCCTCAGCCGTACACGCGCAAACTAATTTTTTCGAAGAGCGGGCCTCAATCACTAAATCCCAAAAGCCCTCAAACCTTACAACCTCAACCACAAAAGCCCTCAAACATTAAACCCTCAACCCCAAAAGCCCTCAAGCCTTAAACCCTCAACCCCAATAGCCCTCAAACCTTAAACCCTCAACCACAAAAACCCTCAAACCGTAAACCCTCGACCACAGACGCCCTCAATTGGAGGGTCGGGGACTTGTTGATGATATAAGTCCTGGATTACCCATAATAAGGAATATACCATAATTCCCATAGTTGAGGGCACCTTAAGGTCATGCAGGATTCCTATCATCAACCGTAGTAAGCAGGTAGTAAGTAGACTTGAAAGTAACCTAAAAGGGACTCTAATTGGGGGTGTGATACTTATAAGTCTATAAAGTAGCTGCTTACAAAGTCCCCCGACCCTCCAAGTAGGGTTTAAGGTTTTGGGTTTAGGGCTGTGGAGACTCTAGGCCGCCGAATCGGTACGATTTGTATACTTGGAGAGATGGAGCAAGAAGCCAAGAACCTGCTATGTGGAATACTGAAGGTCTGAAACTTGCACAGACCCGTATAGAACCCATAAAACCCTAAACCCTAAACGCTAAACCCCAAACAGGGTTTAGGGTTTAGGGTTTATAACCTTAAACCCCTAAACGGCTCAAAGATGTCATCCGAGGTCCTTTGCGTGCAGTTCGCCTGCCATGTTCCTTCGCAGGGCGCCGTCGACAGCCGACTCATGCGCCGGCAGAAGGCGCATTTAGCGTAGGTAGTATTATTAGGGGTACCCCTTAAAGGGTACCCCTTCTGAACCCTATTTTTGGCTCTCTTAAAAGGGACCTTATTGAGAGGGTCTATATCCCCAAGGGTCCCCCTAATCCTAGCTCCCATAGCGATGCCGTCCGTTTAGAGGGAGCTAGGGATTTTTCAGTCCTACCAGGGCTCTGAAGCGGTTTTGTAAGGTTTCTGTACCGGTGTCAGGGTAAACTTAGGATCCGCAACACTGAAGACTAGGGAATAAACGAGTTCTACTGTTGACCCTAGACTAGGGAGTAAACCCCTTAAGCCCTAATCCCTAAACCCCTAAACCCTAAACACTTAAACCCTAAACCCTAAACCCTCAAACCCTAAACATAGACATGGGTAGTTGTCAAAATTATGGTCCCTTTCGGGGTACCCTAAATAATAGGTGCCGTATTACAATAAGGTCCCAAAAAGGGACCAAAATTTTGACAACCACCCACATAGAACCCTAAACCCTAAACCCTAAACCCTCAAACCCTAAACATAGACATAGAACCCTAAGGTTCGATGTCTATGGCTTAAGTGGGAGCTAAGATTAGGGGGACCCTTGGGGATATAGACCCTCTCAGTAAGGTCCCTTTTAAGAGAGCCAAAAGTAGGGTTCAGAAGGGGTACCCTTTAAGGGGTACCCCTAACGATACTACCTAATTAAGGGTGGGAGTTCGGGGCTTCGAAGCTGAGGATTGAAAGGGTCTCGGGGAGCAGGATCCCAGGGCTTCCAAACTACCTCCATTAAGGAATATGTAGGGTTTAGGGGTTTAGGGGTTTAGGGTTTAGGGTTTAGGGTTTAGGGCTTAGGACTTAGGGTTTAGGGTAGGGTTTGGGCTTTAGGATGTATACTTTAACCTACCATAGGATCCCTAACATGATTTAAGGTATCTTCCTTCATCAAGGGATTTTGGAAGGTCTGGGATTAGGGATATACAAGCGCTGTTTCTTTGTCCTGGTGATCATTGCCATGATTCTGCCGGGCCGCCGGGCATGTTCAATACGTTTGTTTCGGTGGTTCGTTTCATTCGGGTGATGGTACAAATCCTGCATTAACCCATAATGAGGAATATACCATGGTTCCAATAGTTTAGGGTCCTTAAGGAAAGTGAGCGGGTACGGAAACTCCTTCGTAACATCGTGGTGGCGGCACGGGACGCCCATGCCCCTTGTTCTATCGGAGCACGAACCAGGGGTTCTTGACTGAAGACTTGGATGGATCCTAGGTAGTAGGGATACCCCTTAAAGGGGACCCTTCTAAACCCTAGTTCTGGCTCGTTCAAAAGGGACCTTATTGAGAGGATCTATATTCCCAAGGGTCCTCCTAATCTTACACCCTAAAACCCTCAAAACCCTCAAAACCCTAAAACCCTAAAGCCCTAAACCCTAAACCCTAAAACCCTGAACCCCTAAAGCCCTAAACCCAAAGCCCTAAAACCCTGAACCCCCTAAAGCCCTAAACCCTAAACCCCTAAAGCCCTAAACCCCCTAAATCCCCTAAACCCCTTAAGCCAAGCGCCTAAACCCTAAACCCCCTAAAGCCCTAAACCCTAAACCCCCTAAAGCCCTAA